GACATGCCCACATCCATCCATCCATCCATCCATCCGGACATGCCTCACTATCATGCAGGGGTTTCCTCTAAATGAAAACATTCTGTCATGGAGGAAGACAGCTTATGAGATTCAGGAAGCTTAGGAAGTTATAAGGTTCACAAGGTTATAAAGAAACAAACATCTCTGGGGAAAAGGGACTGTCCCATGGAGGCTGCCTACAAGTGAAACACAGGTTTCCACAATTGCGGCTCTTGTGAGTCACCACTCAGGCTAGGGTATATTTTCCAGTGATGCAGTTACCTTTGAGTTATTCATACCCTAGTAAACTCATTGGTTCACTGAGACGGACATGGGTGGAATTACTGCTTTGCTCTGCTCTGGAGCCCTATGCGGGAGAACAGACATTTCTTCATGTCTCCTCAAGAAACATTACAAAACCCTTACCAAACTCTTGGATGACTTTAACTCCTGTCAGTGGGCAATGAAGAGTAGCTGTCAGAGGCCTTGGGTATGCAGTGAAGTTTTGAGATATGCTTTAAGAGGAAATGGTAGGTCTCTTCCTCATACTCCTTTAGTCATTTATATCCTGGCTAAGAAGTAAGCATGTGCTCTGTCATCTGTTCATATCACTCCCATCCAGTACACCTACCTGAGGTCCAAAAGAGTGAGTTTTCTAGCCTTGGACTGTGAGTCGAATAAATCTTCTCTGTTTATAATTTAATTATCTCAGGTACTCTATTAGAGTGATGCAAAGGTACCCAATACACTGATGAAAAACACTACTGACTTCTAATCCCCAACCAAGGGAGATCAAACTAAATACTACACTACTTCTGTTCTTATGATGTTCACTCGGGTGAGAACACATAGGACAGAGTATTTATCCATCTGGAAAGAGAAGTTAAACATCTCAGAATAGGAAATAAGTTGTAGATATCCACCTAAATAAGGGCAATTTAGGTCATCAATAATTTTCAACAGTCTTTGGTCTAAGGAAAACTGAAACAACATGTTAAATTCTAACAGATCAGCAAGTGGGGTAGTAAAGATAAAGATTTAGGGAAATGTTTTCAAGATGTTTAGTCATGAAAAGCATATAAGATGGATGTTAGAAAAAAATAACTTTAGAACTTGGGCATAACTGTTAAAAAAAAAAGAGAGAGTGTTTAAGCATGCCCAGTTTCAGCCATGCAGTGATGGCACATGCCTTTAATCCCAGCACTTGGGAGACAGAGGTAGGTGGATCACTGTGACTTCAAGGCCAGCCTGGGCTACAAAGTGAGTTCCAGGGCAGACTCCAAAACTACACAGAGAAACCATGTCTCGAAAAATTAAACAAACAAACAAAAAATTGTGCCCAGGTTCAAATGCCATCTAAACCCAAGGGTCCACTAAAAAGAGGGATGTTATGTGAGAAGGGTGGGGAAGAGGAGAGAGAATAAAATCCTTTGGAAAAATTAGAACAGTTTGTCTTAGATTGTAACAGTTACTGCTTTATCATTAAGACAGAAGAAAAACAGGAGAGGTGGATTCTGATGTTGAGGAATTTGGAGAAAAGAGCATGTGGTAAGGAAAAGAGTGGAGGTGAGGGGAAGAGAATGGAGAGGTTTGCTTATATTCCCTTGGGAAAAGTGAAGGCCGTGATGATGGTAGCCAGGAGCATCTTCCATGAGCACCAAGGGCTCTATGGACTGAAACTGAAGCCCACAAGTTACAGTGTATGAAATAAGCTGATTGAATAAGGACATACATATTTTTACTTTAGTGTAAAATATAACATGCATAGTGGAATAGATAGATAGATAGATAGCATATTTATAATACAACAAATATTTCTGAGGTCTCTGTACTTTACCTCATATCAAACAGTAAGGACTGCTTGAAGTTTTTACTGAATTTAGTCATTCAACATATATTATTATGTATACTAGGAGGAATTTAATTCTACAATATGTTAATATTTTGTCTAGTAGGAGTTCATTCATATTTACCCATTTTCTACTTATCTCTTTCTCTGCTTCCCATTCCTTCTTTCATTCAGGCTTCCCATCTGGGCTCAACTTCTCTTAGAATTTCCTCCAATGATGATGATATGCTAGTTAAGCGTACCTTATTTCCATTTGTCTTAAATGTATACATCATTTTGTGATTGTTTTAAAGGATTTTCTTCCACATATAGACAGTTGACAGTCTTCTGAACAGTCAACAATGTTCCCATGATCCCTTGTGCTCATTGCTTGGGTCAAGAAGTCAGTGATCCCCCTAAACTTGCTCCTTTGAAAGGGATCTGACAACGCCCTCTGGCAACATTGAAAGTTTTATTTTATTCACTAGTGCTCTGTAGTTATTGTAAAGCATCAAGAAACAGAATTTGTATCTGATCACTTACACTTAAATTAGAAGCCCAGCATGATGAAATGTACCACTCATGGATACACACCCAACAGAATCGAGGTCAGATTACAATAGATACACTATTCACGGCAGCCATCTGAATCAGCCCAGGTGCTCATCAGTGGGTGAATGGAATTAGAAAATGTGGCGTATGTTCACAATGGAGTATTTGGAGCACATTAAAAAGAACAAAATTCTATCTTTTTCAAGAAAAGAGGTGAAACCAGCAATCATGTTAAACAAAATAAAGCAGGCTCGGAGAGGTAAGTACTTTACGTTTTCCTTCCACATGTGGAAAGAAAGTAAAAAAGGGACTGTTAGAGGAAAGGAAAATGCCTGTAAAGGAAGGAATAAGTGTGGTTTCTATGGAGAGGAAATATGATCAAAATACCTTATCGACTGGATGAGGAGATCATAATTAAGTTCATTCATTTGCTATAAACAATGCACAACAGTTTTAAAAAGTTTCAAAAAACAGAGAGATTTAGATAGCTATTGAAACAATTTAGATAGCTTCTGAATCTTTTAATAGGGATATTTCTTTTCTTAAGGTTTCTTTTTCCAAGCTGGGCGGTGGTGGTGCATGATTTTAATCCCAGCACTCAGGAGGCAAAGACAGGCAGAGCTGAGTTCAAGGCCAGCCTGGTCTACAAAGAGAGTTCCAGAACAGCCAGGACTATTACACAGGGAAACCTTGTCTCAAAAAACCAAAAGAAAAAAAAAAGATTTTTCCATAAAATAATTTTTCTCATTTCCAGGCTATGGAACTGTTTTCCTACTTGTACTCACTTTATAGAGTAGATACTTTCCAGGAAAAATGATATGTAAATGATAAGCTTATAAATCAAATCCTACCTGTTTTTGTTTACTTCAATTTATTTTAATTAAAATAGAATTACTTATATTTCCCTTTTCTCCCTCCAGTCCCTCCCAGGGACCCTCCCTCAAACTCCTCTCATGCTCCTCTGCTCTCAAATTGATAGCTTCTTTTCCTTTGATTATTATTGTTACATATACATATGTATGCACAAACATAAATACAACCTGCTTACTCAGTTTTTGTTGGTGTGTGTATGATTTCAGGGCTGGCCACTTTGCATTGGATAAGTTATGAGGAGGCTCATCACTGGGAGAGGCTATTTCTCCCCATTCTCAGCATCGTTCATTACCTACAGTTCTTTGTCTATGGGTGAGACGCCCTGAAAATCTCCCCCTTCCATATTAGCATGCTCATTGGTATTGTGATTGCTCCTCTTGTCTATGCAGCCATTCCTAGGAGAGATGCTTTCCCAGCAGACTTCCTGGTATCCTGGTTCTTACTATCTTTAAGACCTCTCTTGGGCAATGTTCCCTGAGCCACAGATGCTGTGCTGTGAGGCAGATGCATCCACTGAGGCTGGGTTCTCCCTAGTTTTTGAGCTCTGTATTGCATTAAGTTATAATCCTCTGTGATTGTCTTCACAACATTCATTGTAAAGAGAAAAAAATTTTTTTTCAGAGTTGAGGACCAAACCCAGGGCCTTGTGCGCTGGGCAAACGCTCTACCACTGAGCTAAATCCCCAACCCCGAGAAAATTCTTTTACAAGGGATGATAGCCACAAGTCTGAGTGTATGTGCATAAGAGTTAGAACATAGTAAGTTATTATGTTGGTCTAGCAAAGTGATGGCAATAGAGTCTTTTCTAAGGCCCATGACGTCATTCAGCCCAGGAAGTTGACTAGGTTTCCATACCAGGCATCATTTCCCCCTAGTCGTGTATTCATATATATGTCATTGTTGTGGTTCATAGCCATTGATGCCGGTTAGGACAACAAATTGCTTCCCTCCCTTGGTAGCTTGTATAGTATTTTCTGGTACCATAGAAGTATGTTGTAGGATGGTAGTTTCAGGTTAGACTCAGCTCGAATCTGAGTTCCATGTCCTAAGCGTGTGGTGTCTTCAGCAACAGCCTTCCTTTCAACCTCTGAGGTCACCAAGCATTATATCAAGAGTACATACTGTTTTGGGAGTCACTTGGACTACCTTGATCAACCATATAAAAGAAGTATCTAGTACTCCGTATTGGGGGTTGTGTTGGTCTATGGTTCTTGTGGGGAGCACTATCAGCCCAAGTGGTATAACTTCATTTAAGACACACACACACACACACACACACACACACACACACACACACACACACACCACTTATGTGTATTACATACATGTCTTGGTAAGTATAAAATAACATAACTTCTTGACACTTTATGAAATAACCTTGATGTTATTTGTCCCTTTCCCCTCCTCCTTCTGTGTTCACTTGCCTCCATTCTCCTCATTTGTAACCCCTACACTGTTTTTTGACTTCCCATTTCATACCAACTGTATCCTGTAATTCCCTTCTCAGGCCCTCTCCTGCCTATGGCCCCATTATACTCTCCTAGTTTCTGTTGTTAGTTCATGTTTTATATTGGCATCTGAAGATTTGGAGCTAGAAATTAGAGATGAGAGAGAACATGTGGTTTTTGTTCTTTGGGGTCTGGGTTACCTCAATCAGTGTAATCTTTCCTCTGTCCATCCATTTACCTGCAAATTTCAAGATTTCATGTATCTCTATGCTGAGTAGTATTCCACAGTGTATACGTACCAGATTTTCATTATCCATTCATCTGCTGAACAGCATCATGCTGTTTCTGTTTCCTGGCTATTGTGAATAGGGCATCAATGAATAATGCTCAGCAAGTATCTGTGGAGTAGAATGGTGAGTTCTCTGGGCGTATGCCAATGAGTGCTATAGCTGGATCAAATAATAAATTTTTTGTTGATAGTTTATTGAGGATTCTCCATACTGATTTCCAGAGTGGCTGCACCAATTTGCATTCTTTCTAACAATGAATGAGAGTTTCTCTTTCTTCACCAAGTCTCCAGTAGTTGTTGTGAGCTATTTTGTTGATTTTATCCATTCTGGCTAGATTTTAATTTGCATTTCCCTAATTGCTATGGATGATGAACATTTTTTAAAAGTCTTTCTTAGTCACTTTTATTTCCTCTATTGAGAATTCTCTGTTGGATACATAGCCCATTTTTAACTTGGCCTTTTGTTGCCTTGACTCTATTTTTTGAGTTCTTTGTTCTGGATCATCAGTTTTCAACCTTCCTAATGCAATGACCCTTTTTTTAATAGAGTTCCTCATGTTGTGGTAACATCCAACCATAAAATTATTTTGTTGCTACTTCATAGCTGTACTTCTACTACTGTTACAAATCATAATGTAAATATCTGACATACAGGATATCTGGTATGTGACCGCTGTGGGGTCGTGACCCACAAGTTGAGAACCATTGTCCTGGGTACTATTCATCTTTCAGATGTACAGCTGGGAAAGATTCTCTTCCATTCTATGGGTGTCCTCTTCATTGGATCGATAGTTTCCTTAGCTGGACAGAAGCTTTTCAGTTTTATGAGGCCCCAGTTGTCAATCATTGGCCTTCATTCCTAGGGAAAAAAAGAGTCCTATTCAGAAAGTCCTTTCTTACACCTATATCAGGTACTGCCTATGATTTCCTCTGGCAGTTTTAGTGTTTCAGGATTCAAATTGAGGTTTGTGGTCTACTTGGATCTGATTTCTTTTTTTGTGGAGTAGTAGATGTAGTTCTAATTTCATTCTTCAAAAGTCATCTTTGACTGGTGAGATACTACTTTCATCCCCCATCCTTCTTTCTGCCCACTGCCATCCTGCAGCTACAGGTCTGGCTCCAGACCCATGTTTTGGGAACTATCTGCCACATGTTCATGTCAAATCACAAAAGCACACAGGACATAAATAAACACTTCACTTAACTCCAAGAATGATAATAGAAAATGCTTGGGTGCTACACAAAAAATAAAATAAAATAAAAATACATGTCTGAATGAAATGATGAAGGTAATTCAGGATTTTAAAACTGCATTGAATAAAAAAAGAAAAATACTGAAGAGAACACAATCTGAAATGGAGATGGAATTGAAAAACTCAATATGCAAATTAGAAACTCAGAGGAAAGCCTTACAAGTAGAATGAATCAAGCAGAAGATAGACTATCAGGACTAGAAGACAAAGTAGAGGATCTAGATGAAATAAGCCAAAGTCATGGAGAATTTTTAAGACCATAGAAAGGGAATATGCAGGGAATGTGAGATACCATCAAAAGACCAAATCTTCTAATTATAGGCATAGATGAGGGAGAATATTCCCAAGTCAATGGCATAGACCAGATCACTAACAAGATCATAGAAGAAAACTTCTCCAAACTTAGGAACAACATACCCATACAGATACAGGAAGCACACATAACCCCAACCAGAAAAGACTAAAAATAGAAACACCCTATGGTATATCATAGCTAAAACATTATACAGGACAAAGAAGAAATGTTGAAAACCACAAAAGAAAAAAAAACACAAGTTGCCCATAAAGGAAAACTCATTAGAGTAACACCTGACTCCTCAATGGAAACTCCAAAGACAGAAGAACCTGAAACAGAAAATTCCAAATTCTAGAAGACCACAATGTCTAATATAGACTATGAACCCAGAAAAATGAAAAACTATGTACAATAATTGAAAGTTTTTTTTAAATCTCATAATCAAAACAGCCTCTAAAAATTCATATCCTGCAAAAGAATAATAAACAAAATACAAGAAACTATACTTCCAATGAAGGGAGTAAAAAGCTCAATAATGAGACTCTGAATAAAAACAAACAAAACTATAATTTAATGGAATACAAAGCACAACTAAGGACACAAACCAGCTAAAAACATTAAAATAACTGTAACTTATACACACCTTTCAATACTCACTAATTGTGAGAGGCTAGCTCCCACTTTTTCCCAGGGTGCTCTTGAGGAGAGAGGGATAAGAAAGAAACAAAATGAAAGATGATAGTGTGGAGAAGATAGACAGAAACACAGAATAGCTCCAGGAGGACCTGGATCAGTATCCACCAGCCCCTTCTATCTCTTCAAAGGGGCTTTTTATAGGAATGCCAAGGAGCAGGGCAAAAGACCTTCCCCTAGCACAGCCAAGTGCAGACCTTTCCAAATACCTGGTACCCATGCATGTGATCAAGCCATCCCCTAATGCAGCCCTGCTGGGTAAAGTAAGCTCACAACTCACTAGGAAACTTCTGTGGGCTCCCACAACTAATAATGGTCTCAGCTCTTTAATCAAAACACACAGTCCAGGTTAATGGACTAGGAAATAAAAACCCATCTATTTATTGTCTATGAGAAGCTTATCTTGGCTTTAAAGACAGCACCACCTTAAAGTGAAGGATGGAAAGAAGTGCTTGAAGCAAGTGGGATCAAGAAGCTAGCAGGCATTGCCATCCTAGTACACGACAAAATAGTCTTCAAACTAAAACTAATTAGAGGAGACAAAGAAGGGCCCTTCATTTTAATCAAGGGGTCAATTAATCAGGGGAATATAACAATACTAAACACATATTCATCAAACTCTGGTGCCACCAACTTCATAAAAAGCATACTAATGGAATTAAAGACAAAGATTAACACAAGCTCAATAATAGTGATTTCAGTCCGCACTTTCTCCAACTTATTTGTCACCTGGACAGAAATAAACAGAGAAACTTCAGAATTAAATAACATCTTGTGTCAAATGGACCTAACAGATCTCTATACAACATTCTACCCAACGGCCAAGGAATATGCATTCTACTAAGCAGAATGTGGAAGCTTCTCTAAAATAGACCATATGCTAAGACACAAAATAAACATTAGCAAATATAGAATACTGAAATAATTCCATGTGTCCTATATAATCATCAAGCAATAAAACTTAAAATTGGCAGCAAACAAAATGCCAGTTAGTGTATAAACCTATAAAAAGTAAACAACTCTTCACTGAATGATGACTGAACCAAAGGAAAAAATCAAGAAAGAAACAAAAATATTCCTGGAACCAAATGAAAAGGAAAACACAATATAACACAACAAAACCTCTGAGACACATTAAAAGTAATTCGAAGAGAGAAGTTTATAGCACTAAGTGCCAACATGAAAAGATTAGAAAGAGCACAGATAAATGACTCAATGATGCTATTCAAAAATTTGGAAACAGAAGAACAAACCAAATCCGAACCCAGTTGATGGCAATAAATAATGAAGTCATAGCAGAAATTATAAACATTAAAAACAAGGAAATATAAAGAGTCAATGAATTTAAGAGCTGGTTCTTTGAGAAGACAAAATCAGAAGACCCTTGGCCCAACTAACACAAAAAAAGAGAGAGGACCCAAATTTACAGAATCAGAAATAAACAGGGAAACATCACAACAGACACCAAATAAATTCAGAATCACAACTTTCACTCCATTAAGTTGGAAAATGTAAAAGTAATAGATGAATTTCTTGAATAATCCAAAGAAGGAAACACTAGAAAATGGAAAGACAGCCCATGTTCATGGATTGGTAGAATTAATATTGTGAAAATGACCATCCTACCAAAACCAATTTACAAATTCAGTTCAATACCAATTAAAATTTCCACAACTTTCTTAAAGAAATAGGGAAAAAACTGAAATTATATATGAAAAAATAAAAGACCTTGTGTAGCCAGAGCAATATTGAACAAAAGGAAGACTACCAAAAGGATGTTATTCTAGATTTCAAGATCTATTGTAGAGCTATAGTAATAAAAATAATATGGTGCTGGCATGAAAAAAAAAACCAGACATGTAGACTAGTAGAATAAAATAGAAGACCCAAATATATATGTGTGTAATTACAGCCATCTAATATTTCACAAAGAAGCAAGAAACATATATTGAAGAAAAGACAGCATCTTCAACAAATGGTGCTGTGGAAATTGGATGTTTATATGGAAAAAATTTTTTTTTAATTTTTATTTTTATTTTGCAATACAATTCAGTTCTACATATCAGTCACGGATTCCCTTGTTCTCCCCCCTCCGGCTCTCCTCACCTTCCCCCCAGCCCACCCCCCATTCCCACCTCCTCCAGGGCAAAGCCTCCCCCACGGACTGAGATCAACCTGGTAGACTCAGTCCAGGCAGGTCCAGTCCCCTCCTCCCAGGCCGAGCCTGGAAAAAATTTTTAAACTATTATTTTCTTGAGACCGTCTCACAATATTGTTCTGGCTGGCCTGGAATTCACTATATAGACCAAACTGGCCTCTTATTAACATAGATCTACATGATTCTGACTCTCAAGTGCTGGAATTAATGGTATCCATCACTATGCCCAGCTCAAATCATCTTGCAAATGTACTATTGAAGTCAAATATTTATAGGAGACTACAGTGTATTTCAACCATTTTTTTTTCAAATACTGTCTTTACCTTCATTCTCTCTCCTCTCACTTTCATGCATGCCACCTTCTAGGTCCTCTAGGCTCTTCCTTTACACCTTTCAACTCTTTGCATCTCTGGGATTCATTCTTTGCTTTTTCTTTTCATCTTCATATTTTTTTGTTGCTGTTGCTTCGAGCCAGACTCACAGCCCATAAAACGCAGGCTGCCTTGAAATGGTGATCTTACAGCTTCTACCTCTGGACTGACAGAATTTACAGGCATGTGCCACCAGACCCACTTTCTCATCTGGACTTATACTCCCCTTCTTCTACTTTTGTGGGTAAACTGTTGTTTAGTTCAGACACTGTGTTTAATTTTGGTAACTCTATTTTTCATGTACAGACATTTTACTTTGCTCCTTTTTCCAGTTCTGTTAGACCAAGTTTTAAAGTCTCTTGTGTTCTCAAAGTAGAGTTAGCATAGATATTTATAATTAGTATCCAATGATTTCAGTGCATGAAAACTTCATAGACCTATTTCCCCTTATTCCTTTCATTTTCTCCCCAGGATTTTCTGTTCCCTGTATACTTGATTTTATATTTTTTTCTATACACTTTTCACTTTCTGTGAAATATATCTGAAAACTATCTTTCTTCAAAGAGAATCTGAGTTTATTTCTTTGGATGAAATCCACAGGCATTGTCAGTCTAGAACTACCTTACTTAAATCAAAGTTACTTGAGTTTTTCTAGTATGAGAACTTATTCCTCGGAAAGCGGAGCCTGTGGCCACAAGTTTCCCAAGAGCAATCATATTCCTTTCCTCCTTCTTCCTCCCTGTTCAGTTCTAAGGTAACCCTTCTAGCAGTTTCTTTCTAACTCTCCTTTTTCTTTGACAGTCAGCACTTTGCAATGGCTAGAAATGCAATCAGTCTCTTACTAGATTTTTCTGCTTGAGTTGACTCTGAGCCTTAAGTTAAGGTCCTTTACTCAGGGAGGCCACCAAAACCTGAGTTTAATTTTCTCACAATAAAGAATGCCTCTGGGAGAAGGAGCTTCAGGGCTTAGCGTACTTTGAGTTTTCACTTTTTCTTAAATTTGACCTGAAATTCCTTAAAATATTTGAAATTCTTTAATGTTCTAAGGAATATGTGTTATAATATATTCACTGTTTAG